GGTTCAGCAGAGATTTGATTCAAGATCAAGTACCTTGTCATTGGTAAAAATTATCAAGAGTTGTCACCTGATGCTGATTTTATCCTTTGTAGTTAAGAGTTTGAGGCACCATCCTGAGTGCCAGCGGAGTGCTGGGTGAAACACACTCACAGCCAGGATGTCCCAGGAGTATCCCCAAAGAGCAAATCCAGGTGACAAGGTCCTTGGGAATGTTCTGCACTGTTGCACACTGGTGGCAGTTATGGGAAGGTGATGGTAGGAACGACTTCAGAAGACAACTTCTCAAAACGAGGTGCTGTATATAATGTAGAATATCCTCCTCTATGTATGCTGTATATAACGTAGAACATCCCCGTATACACTTGCAATGCTTAGCAGGAGTTTCCACTGACCAGTTTGGCCCTACAGATGTTGAAGTTACTCTTATAGGAAATGACTGATGCTCCTTCATGCCCAGCTTGTGGAGCACTCAGAGCCCAAACTTAGGTGTGAACTCACTCTGAGAGGTAAAAACAAAGCCGCATTATGTAATAAGATTTAACGATTATTTGAATCTCTTTTTCCACCCCACTGGATCATTGATTTAACCTTCCTTGCTTTGTTCACGGGATACTGCTAAAATAAGTAACCATATTCTGAAGTTAATCAGGATCCTTTTTTGTGTAACATAGCAAAAGCGTTTTGAGTTTCACTTTATCTCTTCAGGAAAGGAGCACTGAAAGAACCAATATTTTTGCTAGGAACTGCCAAACATTTGCAAAATGTTCAGCTCATGTGGCCATAGGGAATGAATGCGTAAACTATTACGTGTGTAGTCTAAGGTTCAACCATAATTTTCTCTCAGGGGAAAACAAAAGCAGACCTTTTAAAGCCACCACTAAGGAGATTTCTATTTAGAGAATATGCAATAACTCATATTGAGACAAGATTTTAATCTCAGCAAAGCTTTGGATAATCTGCTGGCACCTGTGTTTGCTGCTCTTCCACCCCACTGCACTGGTTAGAACGGGGCCAAAGGCCGGCTCCTGCTGGCGGCAGCAGTCCTGTGCACGGGTGAGATGCTCCAGGAGAGAGGCAAAGGCATATGGGCTCTGTGCCCACAGCCATCACCTACAGGAAAGGACATCAGCGCCTGCTTCTTTTGGAAGCTCTTACTCCCTTCCCGAGTGCCAAGCTGGCAGGTGTTGCGTGCTGTGATCCGCGTTGTGTGATGCATTGACTAAAAGGTGTGAAGCACAGAGAACACTGTGAGGGGGGAACAGGTAGGAAGGCACTTTTGGGAGTGGGTTTTGAAACTTTTGGCAAGGTTTTTCAACTGCAGAGCTGAGACACTGGGCACATCAGCCTGAGAGCTCTGGGGAGTCTTACATTAGCTTCCAGTTTGGGGGAGAGGGGGACATAGCAACACTTCAGTGCCATGGTGGTGGTGCTGAGGAGCCCTGTTTCTGCTGAGGACCCAGTGCCTGACATCGACACCAGCTGAGCAGCCCTGTATGTAGGGGTTCAGTCTCTGTTAAGGAGAAAAAATAAATAAATAAAAAGATGGTTTTCTACATTATAATTTGGGCAGTGTGGGGAATGGTTAGAAAAGGAGCTCCAGTAGCTGGGCACAGGAAGGGAAAGGAAAAAATCTGTATCTGATGCATCTTAAATAGGTTTCATACCCTTTAAAATGAGCATTAGTCATGTGAAAGGGTTAAAAATAACATCAGATTTATCTAGTTCTTGGGTTCTGTGATTCATGATTCACATTTTGAAGCCTACACCCTGTGAAGAACAGTGCATTATTAGGGGAAGGAAAAAGGCTTGCCAGGGACAGAAGGTAATTTCCCGTAGCAGGTGCGTACAGCAGGTGGTACACAGTGTACCTGCAACGAAAAGGTAGATTTAGGCTAAGATTTTATTTAATATGGAAAACTTATTGCATCCTGAGCCACTACTGGGGATGTGCCAAAAATCGTGTCTGCAGCATGATTTATTACGTGGAAATACCACCGAAGTAATCAGTGGAGTTACTAATTAATACAAATCTGCATTTTTGCATAAGCAATTACTGCAAAGAGAGTGCAATGAAAGAGGAAGTTTGACTCATTTAATCTCAGTGTCTATTCAAGCGGAAAGACCCACCAGGGCCAGGCGCTAGGATCCACGTTTGGATTTTTTTTTTTCTCCTTTTGATTAGTTAAAGGAACTAAAAGGTCAAATTATCAATATTTAATTCAAATGGAAATGCATTTGTTCAAGAGGAAAGAAAACACTTTATTTAAACAAGGTGGGACTCTGGGGGTAAATGGCTGGATCAAAAATAATTAGATTTTGCGGTTATAACGGCATCTAAATCCCGTCTGATAAGAATCCTTTTTCCTAATGACGGCGGAGCTCCGACACCGGGGCGGCTGCCGACGTTATTTAAGCCGCGGCTCGGCCTGCCGCTACGGTTTAGACATTTGCTTTAATGGTACGTACTCCTCTGATTTGTTTTTGGTTTTTAATCAATTTGAACGATATTTTCAATCTATTGTGATTCCGTAATCGTGTGTACTCGACTAAAAGAGTCATTTAAAAAGCTGATAATTACACTGCGGCGGCGATGTCTTTTCCATTAACTAAATAGAAGTTTACATTTATAGAATTAAAACAACAGCGGCATTTACCCAACAGCGAAAGCCTCAACGCGATACGCCGCGTCCGGATGGGCAAAACGAGCCGCAGCGGCCCCGCGCCCGTCCGCCCCGCACCGCACCGCTCTCCTACAGCCGGGGCCGCTCTCCCCTCTCCGGGGCTCGGGGCAGTTTCGGCGGTGACATTCGGAGGGGTTTTAAGCGGCCTCGACTGCACGGGGAGAGAGCGGCGGAGGCGAGCAGCACGTCGGAGAGCTCCCGGCTGTAAATCACGCGCTAAGTGAGGAGCGCGGCTCCCGCTCGCCGTAGCTCCGAGCTATTTGGGGAGGAGGCATCCTCCTCCCGCACTCTCGCAGGTGCAATATGAATCAATTATCTTAATTAAGATAATGCCGCGAACCCCCGAGATTTTCCCGGGAGCGATTTGGAGCTCGGGACACCGAGAGGAGTTCCGCAGCTCGGCCCCTGCCTCCCCGTTCCCGGCGGTCACGGCTCTCCCGAAGCCCTCCGGAGCCGGGCCGGGGGCGGCAGCTGAGCCCTGGCCGTGGTGGGGGACGACGACGACGACGACGACGACGACGACCGGGGCTTTGTCGGGCCGCGTGCGGCTCGCGTGCGGCGCTGCGGGGGGTGGAAGGGGAGGGGAGAAAGGAGAGTGGAGGGTGAGGTAACGAGATCTGAGGGGAAAAAAAAGCAAGAACAAAAAGGAAAATAAGGAGAACTAAAATAAAGTCATAAATGAGGGAAAGGACAAGGAAAAAAAAAGGGGGTGGGGGAAGGAGAAAAAAAGCAAGGGGAAAAAAAAGGAAAGAGAAAGATAGAGAAAATGGGGGAAGGAAAAGAAAAAGGGAAAAAAAGAAAAAATAAAATAGAGAGAAAAAAAAGAAAAAATAGAAAAAGGAAAAGGAAAGAGAAGAAAAGAAGAATTATAAAAGAAAAAGAGGGGAAGAGGAAAAAAATAAAAGAAGAAATAGAAGAAGAAAAACGAAAAGGAAAGAGAAGAATTTTAAAAAAAAGAAAACTATAAGAGAAAAATGGGAAAGAAGAATAGGAAAGGAAGAGAGGGTGAAAAGGAAAAAGAGTAAAAAAAAATAGAATAGGAAAGGGAGAAGGAGGGCAGGAAGAAAAAGAGAAATGGGGAGAAAAAAAAGAAAGAAGAGAGGAAAA